GTGCAGTGGCACAATATCGGCTCACTGCAACCTCCACCTCCTGGGTTCAAGCAGTTCTCCTGCCTCAGCCTCCAGAGTAGCTGGGACTACTGTTGCTTGCCACCATGCCCAGCTAGTTTTTTCTATTTTTAGTAGAAACAGGATTTCACCATGTTAGCCAGGGTGGTCTTGATCTCCTGACCTCATGATTCACCCGCCTCAGCCTACCAAAGTACTGGGATTACAGGCATGAAACACCGTGCCTGGCATGTTATTTTTCACTGTTGTTGGGATTTATTTCCCAAATATTTTCCATCCATCATTAGTTGAATTGAAGATGCTGAACTCACAGATATGGAGGGCTGACTTTATATGGAAAAAATCTGGCCTCACTCAGATATGCAATTGGAAAATGGTGAACCCTACATATACCTTGAAAGGGTCCTAAGGACCTGAAATCGCCCTGAGACCATATTTTAAATGGACAAATGATGCTATGGAGTGTAGTGAAAAAATAATTACGTTTTAAAAATTTGTTTTTATAGAAAAATTAATTCTGAATACAAAGCAAATGATTTTACTAGAAATTTGCTAGCCCAGACTTTTTGCAATCTGGCCTGTTCTTAGTATTTCAGGAGTTTGAACAACTCTCAAAGAACTAAAAAGAAATGGCATTTCAATATGTAATATGCCCTACACAACATGGTAAAAGATAAATTGCTCACAATGCATATTTTTATTAGAAAATATTTGTTTAATATAAATATATAATCTGAAAAAAATTAAAGGATTCTACTATCTCATTTTACATTGATCAGAAATATCTGAAAAATGGTGGGGTGGGGAGGTGGGTGTGGGAGAAGCCTATATTACAAAAACCCTAGAAACCTAGTGAGAAAAAGAAATTCTAATACAACGATATTAATTTAGGAACAAATTAAGATTTTTTAAATGTCCCTAAAATTTCCTTTAAAGCATTGTGCAATAGTGACAAATACATTTATTTGGTATTAGCAAGGAAATCCTTGTTGACCTGAAGAGAAGGTGGTGATAAAAACATCTATAGCGTTTTTTAATAGCATCTGCAGAAACTGAAATAGAAGGCGAGACAAGAGCTCTGACAATGCCATCTGACTGTTCTAGTAATGCCTCTCTTTTTCAAAGATCTCTCATTTGTCATTTGGTATAAGTGTTTGTGTCTTGCTCAATAATTTTTAGGAAATGTATATTTTTCACTAAATTAAATAACTTCTAGAGCCTTGTGCTGCCACTCTACTACCTTCTGGACCATGCTGTCTATACTCCACGATTGAACTGCCTGATGCCACTGATTAGCCACCAGCAACCCACATCTTACACCGCTTCCATGTACCCAGTGCACACTCTAACAAAACATTCTTCATTTTCTATTAGCAACAGTGTGATTTTTTAAATGACTGGTAATCTCAAAAGTCTTTTAGAATAAGCCCACTTTGAATATTAGCAGAAGTTGACTCCGAAAAGCGATCTTCCACTGAACAGTGGAACTTCTAAAACAAAATTCATTTGTAACTTGCATTCTTCCTCTACTGTCTTTCACTGTCTTCTAATAACATTATGTAGATGAGTTGCATCTCCCAAATTAGATTGTGGGAAGTACCATATTTTGTTTCTTTTTTTCCTGTGACCCAATTATTTAACATGGGCCTGAGCACATAAAACCTGTTTTAGCCTGCCCTTACATGTACTATACATTCATTACATAGAAAATAAAGACTTTACGCAGTCATCCTAAAATTTTTAGTTCAATAAAACATATATTTTTGGCTTTTAAATTTTATATTTTTAAGATTCTCTGACTTATAAGTTTCGACAATATGATGGAGATTATAATTCTCTTCTATCTCATAAAGCACAAAGATTTCAGTAAATTATTTATCCCAGTTTCTACTCCAACCATTCATACTGGCTAGAGCCATCATTTTCTTAAACTTCTTCATATTCCCTCAAATTATATCACTAGTGACATCAAAACAATTGACAAAGTTGCTGCCCAGAAGTGGAGAAAACAGCAGAATTGAAGTACTAAAGTAGGTACCCTGCTAGGTTTGTTCACCAGCTAAGTGATTGCACCTACATCAACTTTCCAGTATGGATTCAAAAGAGTTTCTAGGCAAAATTCTAAATTGTTGTTTGGTAGGGCCCATTGGGGTTACTGGTAAGTGGTCAAAACTTTAAATATTAAATCAACTGATGGCAAGAGTTGTTATGAATGAATAATCATTATTGACTGATTAGTCTGGGACATAGAAGAAACTGAGAGCAATAGATCAGGACCTTATGCAAATGTCAAAGGAAAGAAACAAATATTAAAAGCAAACAATAAGGGAGTCCTCCGTGTCTGATAACATTCATTCTTTGAGGGAACCAAGCCTGCCATCTCCCTCAACCGTGGTCAAAGGAGAGCGCTTATGACTCATTCTTGGCCTTGTCCTGACTATATGTCTCCTACATCCAGGAGTAGGTATGTAAATCAAGCAAGGCTAATGAGAATACTATTTAAGATTAGATAAATGTTGAGAAAGAGCATCTCTTTCATCTTAAAAATATGAGCCTGAGAAATACAGGCTTGGTGCTTCTGTGGCCACGTTTCATGCCATTTGAAAAGGAGAGACAGAGAAACAGAGACACAAAGATGCACAGGGGAAGAGAGAGAGATTATTTGAGTCTGAACCTCTAGATTTTGTTATGTCTGCAGATCTACTCTGACTTCCCAGTTACATGTGCCAATAAATTACCATTTGGGACTTATGTGAGTTTGAGCTGAATGTTTGTTACTTGCAACTGAAAGAGTTTTGGTCAATAGATAGTCTGAATCATGCAGAGTAGCTATGGTTTATTGTCCAGGGAAGACTGCTGAAACAGCCTCCAAAGTTCTCAGGTCAGAAAGCACTGGATGCATGAGTATGTGTGTCTTTCTTTACTCCTTTGCTGAAAAAGCTCCAGAGCCTATCACTTTGATGTACAGTCACTTACGTTAGGTTCTTAGCAACTTGCTTTTCTCTGCTCACAGTGAGTCTTCCCTCTTATGTAACAGCGTATTAACTGTCAGGTATTAAAATGCATAGATCATATATTCATTCTCTCCTCTAAGAATTTATAGCTGATGTTGCATTTTATATGGGATGTTTATAAATATTTTAAGAAGTATGCTGGGTTGCTCAGACTGGCATCCAAATGACAAAAGTAAAACATATTTTTGTTTTGTAGTATTGTGAATTGATTTTAATAGCTTGACTTTCTTTAGCAAGAATGTATTAAAACATCTCAAGCCTCTTGATTGCCTGCATGAATGACCAAAACTTTCACTGTAGCTTAAGAGGCCATGCTATGACTATATGGCTGTTTAATGTTTTATTGTGTATACTGGTGAAATAAATTGTTGAGAAATCTCTAATTGGGCTGGGAACCCCTTAAGATCTCCTTGTAAACATTTTTCCATCTCATAAAAACTGAAAACATTTAGAAATGGTGGCTCTTTTCTTTAAGTGAGGTACTTTAGGGTCTGGAAAAATTATATTTTCCAGATAAAATAATTGTAAAAAATATTTATACCTTGCAACCAAGAAAAAGAACATATAAAGTTTGAAAAAGTCCTTTGAGCATTCATTCATTTTTTATTTTTAAATATTGCATCCTTGTTGGTTAATGTTTTCATTAGAGAATGAAAATTAAATGACTGGGTGCTGTTCTTTATCATCTTGAAAGTTGTGATTGGTTAACACCATTGACATGTGATTGGATTTCTCCTTAGACCAGTGCTTTCTTTCTCAGGAGAAGTAACTAAAAGGGAAGAACCCATTTCCCATCTGAAGCAGTCTCTTGGATATGCCTACAGAGTTTGACTGTGAATTGCACACAAACTTCTTCATTTCCAAAACCATGTAAACTTGCTAGTTCAAGGGTTCAGGACAGCTCAAATGGTAGAAACCATAATAAGAGTCCAGGTATTATATCTATTAATTGTTTTGATAAATTTTGTTGGAGAGGAAGGTACTAAAAACTTTATGTTTACTGTATAACTTTTAGAGCTCTGAAATGCCAGCTTATTGTGATTAAGGGAGTCAATCATTGGGCTAGAGAGATTGTCCCTAATTTTGGAATATCCTGAACTAAACTGCCATTGCCTCAAACATAGGGACCAAGTGGTGAACTAACTAGGATTCTTTCATGGCAAGTAACAGAAACTAACTCTGAATAACTTAGACAGAAAAAAGAAATGTAGTAGCTCGTACAATTAGAAATTCAAAAGGCAAACAAGCATAACTGAATCCAGGGGATGAAATTATATCAACAGTCCTCTTTCTTTGTAACTCAGCAATGTTTTTTTCCTGTACTGGCCTCATTTTAATACAGTGGTCCCATATGGTATCAAAACTGTTCACTATTAGCAGCAGACTCTATCCTCTTTTGCTCTCATGATTTCAGAGAAAGATGGAATAACTCTTTCTTGATTATTTGAGCAGCATTTCTGGAGAGGCTCCTGACTTGAATAACTTGGTCTGGTGAATATTCCTGACCCTATCACAATGGCCAGGGAACAGGATATTCTGGTTGGGTAGGTTGGGTTGTGTGCTACATCTGTGTGAGAAGGATAAGTGAAGTGATTGACGGCTCCATTGGTGTTTAAACAGAGAATTCCACATCAGAAAGAACGACAAGGAAGAAGGATAGGTTGAGATGTACTTGGGCATTAGTCATGATAGTGATGACTTTTGATAGGAAAGTGGAGAAGATGTCGTGTGAGGAGCCTGACAAGCTGTGATTCGTACTAGTTCCTGGCTCTATCTTATTTCGGAAGCAGAGCTAAAGGACATGTAGCTGAAACAGAAAGAGAGGAAGGAGACACATATACACAAAAGCTAAGGAATTAGGTTTGCCACTTGCCTGACTCACCCAGGTAGTTTATTGCTGTTTCTGTTTCTCTGCTACAATGAAGCGGGGAGTTTCTTTCAGTTTATCTCTTTTATTTTGCCTTTTAGGTGGACAAAAAAATCGTAAGAACTGAGATAGGAGTTCTTCTTCGTCTCTCACATCCAAACATTGTAAGTGGTTTTTAACCTACTATTTCAAATGATTTCCAGAGCCAGAGAAAGGGATCTTTGTCCTTCACTGTCCATGCTGATAACAAGAAGGGGATTCTCCCACCACTGGTAGCTAGCACAGCCTAGCTCTTGTCTTCATCTCATCACATTTTCAATCTTTGACTGAGTAAGTCTTACAAGTAATACCTCTAGAAAAGTTCCAAAATAGACAGATTAGCAATATACACAATCTTCATTTTCATGTATAAAAGGATAAAAATCAAAGAGTTTTGTTTTGGTCTAATAAAACACTGGCTTTTTCCTTCTTTTTTTGTGCCTATCTTATTAATTTTCCATTACTGAAAAAGCCTGTGAAGAAAGTACATTGCTTTCCAAAGTCATTTCAGTCTGATTTGAGAGAGAATCTGCTTCAAGAACAATGTGAAGATGCAAATAAATGATGTACTTGAATGCAGAAAATAAAATGTCCTCAGAAGCTCTGCTTCAGGCTTTGTCTAGACAAGACAAAGCCTCTGATGGTAAGATTTAGTAAAAAGCTTTCTTGAACTGATGAAGTGAAAAAGAACAAAACCATTTTCTATGTCGTAAGTTGTTTTTATGAATTAAGCCATCTACTTCAAGAAAGCATTTTTGCCCATTTTTCTGAGGAAGCTGTGATGTCCTACTTACTCTCAAGGCAAAGTGCTTAAAACTTAACATATAAGTTAGGGAAGCCTTCAGCTATAAATAGCAGAAAACTTGAATAGGATGATTTAAACAAATATTTTTCTTATGTTGCAAGCAACAGAAATCAGTTTTTAGCACTGGCTCAGCTCCTCAGCGCTGCCATCCAGAACCCAGATACCATCCATGGTCCTGCCAGTTGACTTTCATCCTCACCCTTTTCCCTCCTGAGCCTAATATGGCTGCTCCACAATTTTTGCAAGTCATCACGTCTATATTCAAAATGAGAAGAAGAGGGTAGGATCTCAGCTAAAGATTCTCATTAGAAGAGTAAAATCTTTCTCAGAAACTGTGGCAGCAGGAGTCTCTTAAAATTTTGTTGGCTGGAGCTGGTCACGAGATTACCCTTAACTGTACGGGGGCTGTGAAATTAGTGGTTGAGACTATTCATGATCCACAATCTGGGGCTAGACACCTTGCTTCTCTGAACAAATCGGAGTTCTGTTTATAATAAAGTAGGGAGAAAAGGGCTTTGGGTAAGCAGTTAATAAAATCTCCCACACTCAATCACCACTTTTACATTATCCATCTCTTCTTTCCAAAGATAAGTCAATGTAGAATTTTCCTCAATTGTAGACTAGTCTTGGCTACTAGATTCTCATATATATGGAGAAAAATATCTAAAACCGTTTGGATTATCTGAATGTGATGAAGACTGTGGTATGCTCAATCAAGTCACTGTCACCACTACTTTCCTGAGGATTCCTTTACCCACTGACAATTTTTTTAGCTATTGATTGATATCCTTTACATATAGGCAGATTTTAAGCTGCCTCAGTCCCCTTATTTCAAGTCCTAATTCCCAGAAGAAATAGTAATTTTGTACCTCTAGCAACCATGATGCCCAAAATGGTTTAGGAAGTTGTATTGTTGTTCTTTTTGATTTTTGAACTATTCAGAAGTTGGGACGTTTTAGAAAAGTTAGAAAGTGTTTCTAAGGCAGATATTTTTCAACTGTCTAAAGGAAAAATGTAAACACATTTTACAGGAACTTTGAAAAAAAATTATGTAACTGATAAAATCAACAACCCAGAAAGAGAGTGAGAAATAGCTAGCTGATACAAGAATGAGGAAACTGTATTAACAGTGATCCAACATATTACTGTTGCAGAGTGTTGTTTTAGCCATAGTGTTAGCGATTTCTAAGAAAGATGGAATAAGAAATTTGTGATACTCTTTTTTTATATCTTTCCCTAGATAAAACTTAAAGAGATATTTGAAACCCCTACAGAAATCAGTCTGGTCCTAGAACTCGTCACAGGAGGAGAACTGTTTGATAGGTGAGTTGATTCTGGAAATATAACCACAGAAAGATTTACTTTTGGCCACCTGAAATATAATCTAAAGGACATTTCTCCTGAGACTTTGTATAATGGCAGATCATACTTGTTGATAGGGTAGTGATAAGATGTAGTTACATGAAAACTTGAGATGTTTAGTGAGTAAAAAGAGAAACACTATAATATCTATTTACCTTTGCAAACATTTATCTCCTCAATAAAAAAAATAGAATTTCTAAAATCAAATTACATTTAAACTAAATAGTAAGATTTATAAAAATATCTTAAGAAAATATTTGATGAAAATTTTAGAAAATTAGACATGTACTCTACGTGTTCTCTGTTATGATCCAAAAGCTCATAAAAATCAATAATCTTTAAATGATTATTTTAAAGCTTACTTTCTTTAGAAGTCCATATAAAGAGTTCCATGTTGCAAAGTAAACATGTTCTGTTATAGCCAATTATTGCTAACTTTGATTTCCTGTTCGTATGTTCATCTTTTAAAGCAGAGGAGTGAGAACGGAGAAGAGACTGGGGGTGGGGAATGTGCCTGGAAATCTGGCAGAGCATAAAATAGGCAAACTATTTGTACAAGACACACAAACTTTATGTTTCTATAGTTTTTCCATCTTCCCTGCCCTCTTATGAGAATTCTGTATTTGTCCTGATGGGCTCTTGAGAGCCTTTTGCTGTGTTCATCAGATAATCAAAAAAGAATGGAATTGAAAGAGGACAAAGTAGGCTATGTGAGAAATGGTAAGAAGTCATGCATGAGTGGAAAAGTTTTGGTTAAAAATAGGGTGAGACAGGTGGACTGCAGTTTAGGGTGAAGACAGAAGAGACTGAGGGAACCATTATATAGCCTGGATCACAGCAAATGTTCCATAAATATTTGCTGAATGAATTAATTAACAATTGCTGCAATGAAGGGACCCTGAGGAGAAAGATATCCTAAGGGGATTAGTTTTGAATATGTTGGGAGAGGAGCACTCCTTTGCTTTTGCCAGTGTCTGAAGGTTTGTGTGCCCCCAAAATTTGTATGCGGAAATTCTGATCCCTAAAGTGATGGTATTAGGAGATGGGATCCTTGGGAGGTAGTTAGGTCATAAGGGTGGAGCCCTCTGGAATAAGATGAGTGCCCTTATAAAAGAGGCCCGAGAGAGCTGCCTTTCCCCTTTCACTATGCAAGGACACAGCAAGAAGGTGCCATCTATGAGGAAGTGGGCCCTCACCAGACATAAAATCTTCTGGTGTCCCATACTTGGACTTTTCAGCCTCCAGAACTGTGAGAAATAAATGTTTGATATGTATAAGACACACAAGTTATGGTGTTTTTTAATAGCAGCTCAAATAGACTAAGGCATGTTTCTTCTCACCCCCATTCAACCCAGTTAAATTTGCTGCCTCTTCAAGAGCTTTCAAAATTATTCGCATTGTTTTTGAAAGGTTCTGTCTCCTTTTAACATTGCCCAGTGAAAATTTTGATCTTTAGGTGAGAAGGAGCAAAAGGGCTAGCTTCATCGCAACTACATATGTATGTGTAACAGGTATACATCTGAATTTTGTTGAAACTTCCTTAGAGAAGGTTCAACAGATTATTAGACTTTAAATATTATAACATTTTGATTATTTTCACATTATAAGAATAATACGTCAGCTGAAGGAAGTGCATATCAGTAGCCTAAAGACATATAGCTCTGGCGGCAGTTGTTTTTCTTGAAAGACTCATAGTTGTGAAACTTGACTCTACAACTGAAAGATAAATAACTAACCTTGAATAATTTACTTAACTTCTCTGAATCCCAGAGCAAATTTGAAGAGGCTTTATGCTGCTAATAAAGCTTAGATAGTTCTGATCCACTATGAGGATAGTCTTGTTCACATGTTCCCACATCTTCAAGCAAGACTCTCCTGAACTGGCTAATTTGGGTATTGCCACAATATGCCTATGATAGCTTCTTTTTTAACACCTCTTTATCTGACTCTTTTTCATGGATGTATTCCTTCTATAGGCACATTAATAGAGTCAGTTTATAGTCAGATCCTGCTGGCTTTGGAGTTATGAGCTTTCTTTAAGGAGACTTTGCATATTTCTCGGCTAATTATCATCTATCAGAGAGAAATCTCATGTTTTTAAATTATGAATAATTGCAGGACAAGAATGCCACACCCAAGCAATCATCTACTAATAGTATTTGCTATTTACTTACCTCCCTCTATTGATTTGAGTTAATTGGGAATCAAGGATATTTACTTCTCTTCTTCCCAAACTTTCTTCCGTGAAAGAATTTGGGATGAAATTTAATTTAGCTATACCTAAAAATGAAACAACTAAATACTATTGATAAATTTCATTTGCAGAGATAAATGGATGAAATATTCATATTTAGCAGAAAACATTTAAAGAATGGCAGACAGCCAGTAAAGCACTCAACTCAGTGGTTTTAAAAGATAGATTCTTTTCCTTTGCATGTTGTTGTCTACAACATTGCCCTAGCTGATAAGAACTTGGTCTCTCCATTAAGTTACTTAATTCTTTAAATTTTATCAAATTATCTTTAAATTTTATCAAGCTGAAAATAAATTCTGCATTATTATCCAATATATTGATTTTTTTTTCTTGAGAGCTAAAAAGTAATTTGGCCTCTTTCTTTTGTACTTAGGTCAAAACCAATTTATTTAATTGTGATGATAAGAATTCATTCCTGGTCTAATGATGACTCTAACAGTACTTAATGAATGAACTAGGGAGTAATTGCTGAAGAGATAATCATATGAGTCAATTATAGTCAAAAAGTTTGTAATTTATTAGCAAAAAATCTATTCTATAATGATTAAAAAAATTAAACATAGAATTCAAGTAGAATCTGCTATTATACATAGAACTTAAATAGTAAATTACATAGGACAATTTATTAGAAATTTTGGAATAAAATCAATGATTTGTTGTGCCCAAGAAAAATCTAAAACATAAATAAATTTGCACAGTTAGGACATCATGAGAAGAAGAAAGCTCCCATGAAGTTTCTGTTTAATCATTCTTGGTTTCTTTTCAACTCTTAAAATCTCAACATCATTTTCATTGAATTGTTGAGGTGGACAAGGTGTGAGTTTTGCTTTAAGAGCAAATTTCCAACTTTTTTTTCCTTGAAAATGATTGTATTTTAAGGCAGCAAATTTATCAATATCCTTACAGTCTTCTAATTAAATTAGAAGTGTTTTTTCCCTGATTTTTGTCAGGTAACTCGAGTATCTAAGTATAGTTTTGCATTTTTTAAAATCATCATGGATTTTTTTTTTCTGTTTTCTTTTTTTCATTTGTTTGTTTCATCAATTTTTCCTAAAGAATTTTTTTTTAACTTTTTAGTTCAGAGGTACATTTACAGGTTTGTTACATACATAAATGTGTGTCACGGGGATTTGTTGTACAGATTATTTCATCACCCAAGTACTAAACCTAATATCCACTAATCCATTAGTTATTTTTCCTGATCCCCTCCATCCTCCCAATTTCCACCCTTCGAAAGGCCCCAATGTGTGTTGTTCCCCTCTATGTGTCCATGTGTTCTCATCATTTAGCGCCCACTTAAATATGAGTATGTGAAATATTGGAATTTTTGTTCTTGTGTTGGTTTGCTAAGGATAATGGCCTTCAGCTCCTTCCATGTCCCTGCAAAGGACACGATCCATTTCTTTTTGTGTTTTTGCTTGCCTGCTTCGGCTTGTTCCAATACTAAATGTATGTACAAAAGGTTTTAGAATTTGAGACTTGGAATGCTGTTACCTTCCAAAAAAGCAGATTTTCTTTTGTTGTAGCAGGCATTTAAGGTTAAGAAACAGATTATTTTAATACAATTGGATATTGGGCTAATTCAAAGCTGGGCTTCCTAATGGCTGGTGTATTCCTTGTCAAGTCTTATTCAGAGGGCTTTGCTCTTTGAAGTTCTTAACTTTAAGCCAGGGCATTTTACCAGGGCTCCTCTTACTTGGCAGACCCTGAATGCCAACTTCTGTCCCCTTAGCTCAGTGTAATGGCCAGAAACTTGATTCAGCTTCTTTCTCGGCCTGTCAGCTGCTGTGTTGGAATCAGTAAATGCCTTCAGAAGGAAAGCAGAAGCATCAGATGGCAGGTTTGCTTTGCTGGGCTTTTCTTCTCTTCTGGGTTTTAGTTCCTAAATCCTTCTCTTCCTTAGTGAATTAGTCAGGGTTCTGTGGTGGGACAGAACCAATAGTATTTTCGTTTCTGTATTGGTCAGGGTTGTTTTTCTGGAGGGACGTAATAGGACTGATGTGTATATGAAGGGGAGTTTATTAGGAGAATTGACTCACACAGTCACAAGGTAAAATTCCACTATAGACCAGTTTGAGTCCTCAAACCTCACAAGTAGGGAAGCCAATAGTGCAGCCTTCAGTCTGTGGCCAAAGGCCCAACAGCCCCTGGCAAATCACTGGTGTAAGTCCAAGAGTCTGAAAGCTGAAGAACTTAGAGTCTAATGTTTGAGGGCAGGAAGCATCCAGCACAGGAGAAAGATGGAGGCCAGAAGACTTAGCCAGTCTAGTCTTTCCACGCTCTTCTGCCTGCTTTTATTACAGCCTTGCTGTCAGCTGATTAGACAGTGCCCACCCAGACTGAGGGTGGGTCTGCATCTCCCAGTTCACTGACTCCGTTGTTAATCTCCTTTGGCAACACCCTCACAGACACACCCAGGAACAATACTTTGCATCCTTCATTCCAATCAAGTTGACACTCAGTATTAACCATCATACTTAATAACTCTCTGATCTGTTCAAATAGATTTTTTAAAAATATTTTATTTAGTTAGTTTTTATTTTTCTTGCCTGGAGGCTTGTCTGACCCACCATTGCTGAGAGCAAAAATTCACGTATGGATTTAAATTTTTTTCACAGACACTAATATATTTTCCTCATTTAAAAAGCCAACCTATTTGAGCAAGTGGGATGAAAACCAGTATCCTCACTATGGAGATGTGAAAACA